CTCTAATTGCAACACTCTCTAAATGCATGCTTTGAAGCTGGTCCCCAGAGGTTGCATTTATGGAGAGTTGACTGTACTGTATAAATACTTTTATTGTTGTATATAAATGTTTTGAGGTTTACGTGATAGAATCTTGTTGATTCTAAGGATCTTAGTCATTAAGATGTAACAATTGTCGATTGCTCTCAAAAACGCGATTCATTCTTAAGCTCAAAATTTAATTATCTTTTATGGAACACAGACTTCCCCTATAACATGATGATACCAGTGGAGATTATTAGATATTTAATCTGAATCAACTAAATATTCAATCGGGATTTATTCACGTGGTCACGGCAGAATTAGGATTTATCTGCTCGAAAATTTTTTTGTCAACATTAATGGCTTCCCATCAATTACTTCGAGCTTCAACTTCAATATTTAGAAATACCGCTACTGCCGCATTTAAACTTTTAAAAAACCCAGCTTTATCAAGGCGAGCGTCAACAACCACCTCTCCAATACAAACAGACGCACTTAATGTACTATATATTTTTTTGTCATGAAAAGTCTACGAATTGGCTCCTAAATTATTGATTTGTGTAAAATTTTTAATCAAGGCCTTAAACCCAGCCCAAAACAATAGTATAACAAAAATAACGACGCTTTCCAATGGAATACGCGTAACTTCCGAAAATACCCCAGGACATTTTTCAGCTATTGGGGTATACCTAGACGCAGGCTCAAGATATGAGACACCACGAACAATGGGTGTTAGTCATCTAGTAGATCGATTAGCATTCAAGGTTTTTTTGTTTTTTAGATTCATTCCTTTATTAATTCAAAAAACTTTCTTGCATATATCGAATCCTTTCTAATAATCTTGAGCAATTGGATTTCTGACGTTGATTGCATTGATTGATCAATTCAAAGGGCACAAAAAATCGGACAATAGAGCAAATGCAAACTGAACTCGAATCATTAGGCGGAAATATTATGAGTGCAAGTAGTCGTGAGACTATAATGTATCAATCCGCGATATTCTATCAAGATCTTCCGCGCCTCTTGGATATACTGGCAGACGTGATTCGAAATCCACTAATAACGCAAGAAGAAGTGATTGAACAACAACAAACCGCGATATACGAATTATCGGAAATATGGCAAAAGCCAGACATGATATTACCAGAACTTTTGCACACAGTTGCCTATAAAGACAACACATTAGGGAATCCGATGCTGTGTCCGGAGTCTAAACTTGCAGAAATGACCCCAGAGTTAATCAAAGAATACATTGCAACCTGGTATCGTCCTGAGCGAATTGTTGTAGCGGCTGCTGGTGCACCTCATGGGGAAATTGTTGCTTTAACCGAGAAATTTTTCGGGGATATGCCAAAATCTCCAGACTTCAATGCACATACTTTCAAGTCCTCGGTATTGGGAGTGTTGAACCCGACGAAACATACATCAAAGCCATCATTATATAAAACGATTACTACAGCTGCTACTTCATTTCTCAGTCAGGGCTCCACATTACAGCCTGTCCCAATAAGTCATGGGGGTCAAAAGTCTCATTATACAGGCGGCACGCTTTATCTCGAGCAACCCACACTGCCGCATACTCATGTTTATGTCGCATTAGAAGGTTTACCAATTCATGATCCGGACATTTATGCTCTTGCCACATTACAAATTCTTTTAGGTGGTGGGGGGTCCTTTTCGGCAGGTGGACCTGGAAAGGGTATGTACACTAGACTATTTACACACGTATTGAATCAATACGCTTGGATGGAATCTTGTATGTGTTTCAATCATTGCTACACAGACTCTGGACTATTTGGTATATTCGCATCATGTCGTCCTGAATACAATCATGCTGTTGCTGATGTGATTGCACAACAATTTGATCATGTGGCGAGTCCAGGGCGTTATGGAGTTACCGAAGAAGAGCTTAATCGGGCCAAGAATCAACTTATGAGTAGTCTACTCATGAATCTAGAATCACGGATGGTACAGCTTGAAGACCTTGGTAGACAGGTTAGTCTTACCCGATCTCACTATAAATATGTAAACTCAATATATTTTTTAATAATCTATTGTATATCTATTTCTCTTTCAGGTCCAAGTGCATGGATTCAAAGTACCCGTAGAGGTAATGTGTCAAAAAATTAGAGAAGTTACATTGGAAGATTTATTAAGGGTGGCACAACGTGTAGTTAGAGGACAGGTAGTTAATGAGGGTAAAGGTACAGGTCTTCCGACTATTGTGGCGCAGGGCCAACTGAAAAATTTACAGGATGTGAAAAAGGTTTGCGAAAGATATGATATTGGAAAATCTACCAAATTGAAATGGTTAAGATAATCAATTGATTATATAGAAATATATAACTTAAAGGATAATTTATTACCATTATTATCATTATTACTACTTTATTTCATTTAATTCGTGATCCGGATGTGGATCAATGTTTTGAGAATAATATAATAATTTTCATTTTACTGTGTCGCGAATTCAGTTTGCTAATTCAAATTTAACGAGAAAATTTATGAAGGATATTCACAATATTTAAATAGACATAAAATAAAGCTTAATTTCAAACCGATGTGTTACCATTTGTATTCTTTTTAGTGTTCTATGTTCTTTTAGCAATTACTAACTGCTAAAAGTATGATGAAAACTTCCAAAAAAAAAAATTAATTTGGAATTTTCATTCCGTAAAATTTTCAGTGCTTGATGGATTGCGATTCAATACTTTGAACCGTCTGTATTCAAATATTATATACTAATCACAAAAAAATATATTACTAGATAGCCTTTGATAAGATTTATAATTTAATGATTTAGTGAGCAGTTTGAAATTTTTCAACACGGTTATATCACATGAACCATTCTGATTGGTTGTACTTTTTCATGTAAAAATACATGTCTATTTTCATTATTCACATTATATATACATATTATCAAATTTCACCATTATTTTTGCATCATAAAGATCATGCATGATATACACCAGTAAAAATGGCACTTTTTTAACTTTCTGGGATATTCAGAGTGTCAATAAATGTGAAATTTAACAATTTTTAATTTTTGAACTGTAAATGAATTTTTGACTAGCTCTAGATACCTTTTTAGAACATTTCAATAATACTCTGAGAGAATAAATTTACTTTTCATTCTAGATATTCTGTTATATATTAATTTTATATTTATAATTTAAAAATAAAAATTCTGAAGATATTTGAAGTATTATTAATATTGTTATCATTTTAATTAGTTTTCAAAATACTCAAAGGTATTTATAAATATTAAAGAAATATTTAAAAAGAAACTTCCAATATCTTAACAATAATTCAAAGTATTAATAATACTTTATAACTATTAGACTGAATGTGAATAAGTACTAAAAGTACTAATGACAAATTACTTAAAGATTGGTAATAGTTGTGTTCTTTTAACATAATAATCTGAATTGCTAAAAAGAGTTCTCAAAATCTTGATGTTAAAATTATAGAGATTATAATATTCATATTATTAGCAATATAAGATTGAAGATAAATAATATATTATTAGTAATACAAAATCAAAGGTAAGTTTATGAGCAATATATTATCAGCAATACAATCTCAAAGACCAATTTATGAATTATAATAATAATTCCTTTATTCATATAATATTTATTAGATTTTATTATAATATGTTCAGATAATCTAGTATTAAATTGATAACTTTTATAATGCTTTGGCAATTTTGTTTAAGCTACTATAATATTAATTCAAGATTTATATAACACCTATAACAATGGTATTAAAGTGATTATACAAGAAACAAAAATACTTTGTCAAAAAATTGTAAAAAGGAGTTTGTGCTTGACTACCTACTTTATATAAAGTACAAACTTTGCTCATTTGAATAATCAAAACTATATAATAACTAGTTATAAGGTGATAATTAAGAATATTACTATTAAAAAACTTGTTTTAATCTAATTCTAATAGTTACAATTTGCTCATTTGCTCGTTCATTTACTTATTTGTTTATTTACTCACTTGTTCATTTGCTCATCCCACATGATTAGATTCTTCCAATAAAATATAAGATATTTTTAATCCAATAATATTAAGTATGAATAATCCAGTAAAATATTTGATCAAAGTTCATTATACAACAGGATCCTCGCTGTTAAAATTTTGCTCCAGAAAATTAAAATGTTGAAATATTTTTTTTAATTAATTACTAGATTTTTGTATTTTTTCAATTGTTCCTAGAGTTAAATATTTGTCTATTTTATATGATCAAAATATATTTTCATGATCTTTGAAATATTGATAGAATCGTAAGATCAATATATATTTTGAAGTAGTATCTATAATGCTGATTTTATTTTTAAATAATCATTTAGATTCAGAATGTTATTTTCTAGATAACTTGTAATTACTAATAAAATTTGACAATATTCTTCCAATTTCATAATAGATTGAAGATGTTGTGTATTTACTGTTTTTTAATAATTCTTTATAAGTTTCTAATAATTCTTCTATTATTGATAATTGTAATAGTTGTTCTGCTAATTAATTATCTTAAAAGTATCTTTTATAATTTTAATTATATCTTCTTCTAAAGATGTTTAGATTTTATTCATTCTTGTTGAATTTTCTTCATGTATTAGAATTTGTTGAACTATTTCAATTAAGTTTTCAAATAATTGTTCTAGTGTTGTATCAATATCTATTATCGAGAGCAAATCTGGTATTATTTCTTTTTCAAAGCCAAAAAGATCAAAAGAATTTATAGTACTTGTTATTTTTGGCTGAGTTTTAATAATATTCATTGAAATTGGTATCTATTACTAATTTCTATTCAAATTTCTGGACATTGTTCTTGTACTTTAAAATATAAATCATTAACTAATGTAAAAATTTTGTTAGGAATATTTATAAAAGATATATTGAATAAGTAAAAAAAATATATAATTAAGAAAGTGATAAAAGATAAATTAATAAATTTTTGAAGTTTTGATGATTATATATATATTTTCAGGAATATAAGGGATAATAATTAAATGATTATTTATTTAAAAGAATAGGATTATAAAATTCTTTTGATAGACCATATGATCGTGAATCTTTAATATTTTTAAATTCATATAAGAAACTAATCTTCATTCCAAGTTTTCATGCAAGTGTATTTAGTTTCACAAGTTGTTCAGTATCTGTTTTTATCCAATAATTTTTCTTTGGCATATTACTATGAATTATTTCACAAGTTTGATAGATACAATTTCGAATTAATCTAATTTTTCTTTATGTTGACTGTTGTTCAACAAATCTTTTAGGAGTAACTATATATTTATTATTTGGTAATGATCAAAAAATGCTAGTGATATTATAAAAATATTAAATATAAATATAGCTGGTCTTGTAGTTATAAAAAAAAAGTTATAGCAATTAGTTCATCTAATGACTTAAATAAAATACCTTTAATTAAATATCTATTACTTGATTATCTTTATTAAATCTTATAAACAAACAAATTAATTATATATAATTACATTATTATATTTATTAAAAATGATCTCCTAAATTATTTTTGGAAAAATAATATTTTGACAAATAATTCAGTTTTGTTATATTACTTATATTAATGAATACTTAAAAATCATCTAGAAATGCTTGTTTTGATTTGTAGAATTCAAATAATTTCAAAAAATAATTTTGGTTACTAATAAAATAAGTTAAAATAATTTTGAACAAGTTTTTGGCAAATTATTTAATTAGATGACATCATTTCGACTAAAGATGACGCAGCAACTGTTGCAACGTGGTGACAAATAAAGCATCACCTAGTTGCAACTAGTTGCAGCTTATAAAATTTTAGAGTTGCAACATGTTGCAACGGGTGATAAATAAGCGTCACATACTTGCTGCGCCATCTCTAATTTCGACAACTATTCTTAATATTTATTGTATTACTGGATATTCAACCAGATTGCTATATAATATCAGTACTGTTTGCTATAGGATTATTCACATATTAAGTAAATACAAAGAAAGATATTTATTAGTAGTAATGATTCTATTTTATTGATTAAAATAGAAAGAAGTTGCACTATGCATCAATTCTAATACAACTGGATCAAAATTAGTAAACAAATAAAACTGATAATTAAACATAAACAGATAATTGGTTGAAGTCACAATTGATAATAACACAAGAAGAGCTCTAAAAATCAAATTGTGACAATGTATTTATTGCACACAAATCTTAAGATCATATGACTTATTATAGATTGATTTTATAAAAGATATAATTAATAATTATGATTGAAAACAAGTTACAAATAATTATAAACATCAAGAAAAGTCCTGAAAATTGAATTGTGACAATGTAAAGTTTTTTAAAGTAATATATTAATTTTCTCGAAGTATAATTGATATAATGTGTAAACAAGTATAAATAATAAATAAATATTACAAAAAATAGTGAGATAATAAATAAAAACTTGTATTTTTGACTGAAGATTCACTATTGTTAAAATTACAAGAAAACAATTCCCATTTCCATCCCAATCTAAGAGAAGTATGTTATTAATAATAATAATTGTTTTGCTTGTACACTTTGCAGATCCCAATGACACTTTAACATCGGATTTCTTCCGAAGTGGGGTCAGCCACATTATCCCGTGTCAAATCACATGACTCACAACGCTTTAACCGCTCCCTGTAAGTAAAGTCACGTTCTTAAAAAGCATAATGATAACGACAATGATAAATGGGAACGCGATATATGGAATCGGCCAAATTAGAATAGGGATGACTAGAGTAATGCTGATGATAAGATTAATGTTGGCCGAATCCCATTCCCACTTACAACATATATGTTCAATTTTGCCTAAAACTGAAAAAAGTGATGATACATATTTTATTTATTTTACGTGTCAATAATAACTGCTCAATACCAACAGTAATGAATAGTGATCAAAAAAGGGAAAATTTTAAAAGTGAAAGTTATTTATCAAACAAATAAAAGCTCTTTGAATTCTTTATATGCTTGTCAGTATAAAGAAACAAAGATATTGGTTACAAAGTAACTAACTTAAAATGAGTTTGGATGTGGACAGATGATATTTACCTGAAATTTTTCAGAATCAAGTTCTCAAAAATTCAATAAATGACCCATCAACTAACTTACTCCATCCCGGAATTTGCTCCAAATCTTCAACTTCATCCTGTATGATTTCCAAAGGAATCTTCAACATTAATCGATCAATTATCACTTCAATAAGCTTCTCAATAATGATTTCGTCTTTTGTTAGTGTGTTGTATTTAACAACTTTACAAAAATATTTTAAAAGTTTTGCAAGAAATGGAGCGAATATCTTTCTTGGTCTTCGTTTTTTTGAGTTCTTGTTTGATGTCGTAATCACCATCATTTCATATTGAGAGGAAACGTCAAAAGCTAAGAGGAAAAGCAGTGCTATGTCTATAGAGGGTTCTTGAGGTTCGGTTGATGTAATATGATTAGTAGTAGAGGTGGTTGTGGTTTGAGCAAAACAGGATAACCAGATGCTTAATGAAATTTGATAAATGGATGAAACGTTTGATCGCTGACAATTATAAATATAATAATATATAAATTACCTGTTAGAATATCTCTATGCAAACGAAAATAATATAATATATAACACAGACCTGATCATTAGATATATTTTCATTCCTAAAAATAGACTCCAATAATTGTTGGAACAATCGAAGAGAAAATAGTATTCTGGGCAGAAATCTAACAATATTGATTATTTAGAATATGAAAATAATAGACCAAAATAATATCAGTAAAATAAATGAATAGATGCATACTTGTATGGTGCATTGGTCGCTAATTCAGCAATCGTCGTTACAATAAGAATGAGTTGTTCGTATTCTTTTGTTTCAAGCAATAACGATCTAATGTTTTTTTGCAAATCTCCAAATGACTCGAACGAATTCATGTCTGATAAAGATACGATTTCGTTTTCGATTTCTTTTTCTGTTTCCTATAATATTTTAATTATTTTCAGCAATTATAATTAATTTTAGTAAACAATCCAGTTAATAATACCTTGCCACTACTACCACCCTTATCGCACCGTAACTTGTTCACGATTTGCAATTTCGAGATTTCAAAACAATCGATCCATGTTTCTGTTATTTCGTTGTGCATTAATTGTTGGAGAAGAGGTGGAAGCGAAACGCACTGCTTTTGAAATATTCTTTATATTAATAATCATAAATTACATAGGTAGGAAAAAAGATTTTTTATTAATGGTGTATACCCTCTCAAATTCTTCCTCCTCATCAATAGAAATACTCAAGTGCCTAATCAGAGGCATGATCTCATGAGGTGATGTGCTTTTGTATAAATCCAAACTTTTTTATGGGTTATTGAAGATAAATCATTTATTAATATTAACGTTTTCATTAATTTTTTCTCGAATTTATTAAAGGTTAATATTATTATTCATACATTACGCTAAGCGGTCGTAAAAGACCAAAATCATTACGTATCGAAAACTAAAAAAAAAGAGGTAGGAAATTCTTATTTATCTTAACAAATAATTATTTAAAAGAAAGTTTTATATAAACAAATTCAAACCTCATCCAATAAAATTTTTTTAATCATCCCGATTTCAGTTGGAAATCGTGAAGCAAATATCAAAGTCTGTTCCAATCGAGTTGACCTAAATTAAAAAATTACAAAAAAAATTCGAAAAGAAAAGAAATAATTTCTTCACTCAAAACTAAAATTATTATTATTACCTTTGCATTAAATGTTTACGTAGTTCATCATGATCACTTGATACTATTGCCAGCAAAGACGAAGAATCAAATGTAGAGTTACAGTTAATAATAGAAATCAGGTCCTGCAAGATTCGACGAATCTTTAGGTCTTCATAACCGACGGTTTTTAGCAACTACAATAAAGGATTCATTACACTTTTTTTGAAATTCTAAGTCGCAATAAAATTTAGATAATAACCTTAAGTATCGAGGCAAAAATACTGCAAACTATTTCACGGTCTTGGCTTTCTAAAGACTCATAGCCATGATCTTTTCCATCATTATCACGATTATCTCCGGCATTGTTCCCAAGAAACACCTGTTTCGCTATAGAAAGAATCCAGAATAAGACATTTGTCGGGACAATCGGTTGACGGAGTACTTTGTCGATTAATTGATATAAGAATCGTTTGGCTTTAATTAAAAAACAAACATTTAATATATAATAAACAATGTAATTAAAAGCTTAAATCCGAAAAATTATTCAAGAAATAAATAAATGAATTAAATACAATCAAATGGTGATTCTTTAAAAAACTCGGATGATCGTAAAAGTAACACAGTAAACGCGTGCGGGTTGATACTTTCAATCAAGTATTGACAGAAAATATTCGCCATCGTTGTTTCTGATGTCTATTATTTTAATTATTAGTAATTTTGATATGATAATACGATAATGCAAGATATATAGATACCAATGGATCTGAGCACCATGTCGAAACTTCATTTACGGAATCGATAAATATCTGTACATCAATGCTATATTATATATTATTATATATTATAAGATTATTTACAAAAATAAAATATGAATAATCATCAAATATCTATCTTTCTACCTGTTTGATAAGGACTTGCCATGAGAAGTTGTTAATTGTTGTTGGCTTTCCTCCGATTCTCTAGTTTCTATTTGCTGAAAAAAAGACGCGACATCTTTCATGATTTTTCTTTATCCTGATAAATCTCGGTTTGGGTGCTATTAGCTTTTTGTGTCACGTGATGGAATTTAATGATTGACCTATTTTTTAAATTATCTAAGGGGCGTGCCATTTATCACGTAATTATTTTTAAATTAGTATGGTCCCCCATATACTTCGGGGGCCGATAATCACACCATCACTATTGTCATGGAACATAGTTGGGACAGGGCGGGACAATTTCAAAATGCTTGGGACATAGAAAGTGTACAATACTGCTATCCGGAAGGCTTCCAAAAACTTCATTCGGCATCACACCAAAATCATTAATGAATCTTTAATTGAAGAATTACTGTGTATTATTACTGAGGACTAACAGAATAAAATTACCATTAAGTTCCCGCCATTAATGAATAAATATTTAATCTATTCGAATACAAAATCTTATAAGAGAATATATTTACAAACAAATAAATCTCGCCAAAATTGAATAATGAATAAATAAATGGAACAAGATATAATTTCTATTCTATCCATATAACTTGACTCCACGTGCCTCCAATACTCTAAGAGCTTTCGGCTGTTCTTTTATAGCCGCTAACCTGATATAATTTTCGCCCTCGTACTCATCTTTCTCAACACCAAGTTTCCCGTTCAACAACACATCTCCTAAATAATATTGTGCCGACGGATTCCCATTATCAGCTGCAAATCGCAAATACTTTAAAAATTCATCTCGATTATATCTCACGCCTTCACTATTCAATATACAAAGGGCGTATCGAAGCTGTGCTTCCGCGATACCATCGTCGGCTGCTTGTTTGAATAGACGAGCGGCTTCCTCAAGTTTCTTAGGCCCATCTAACCCTTCCCATAGATACCACCCTTGCCAGTATATCGCTCTGCTATTCTTTATTTTGGCGTGTCCGGCAAAACATTCCCAAGCAGTCGCGAAATCGCGTACTTTATATGCTTTTATTCCGTCATCAAGTGGCATTAATGGTTTGATTGGAACTTCTATTTCGTCGAAATCGAATTTGGGAAAACCGTCTGAACTGACCTCGATGCTAGGCGTGGAATTGTGTCGTGAAGGAGGAGAGGAGAAAGTTTCCAAAGGGGAAACATCCGAATTACCTAAATCTCTACGCGGATACAATCCAGGGCTTTTTCCTGAATGATAAGTCTCGCTTATTTTATCTAATTTCAAGAACATTTCTTGGAGAGTGGGACGACTATATGGATCCCCTGCCCAGGCTGAAATGAAAAGATAAGAAAATTATTAACAAGAATGTCATTTAGAATATAAAAGATGTTTAATAGATACAACCTTCTCTAATCAGTCTCGTATATTCAACCTGAATTCCCGATGGATAAAGGCCAAAATTTATTATTTCTCGATTTCCTTTTTCGACATGTTCTTTAATTTCTTTAATAGTCATGTTTTCATACGGTTTTTTCGCATGACCCAATTCCCAGAGTAACATTCCATAACTATTTTAATGAAAAAATTTACTTAATGTATGCAAAATCTTTAAGGAATATTCGATATAGATAAGATTCTAACCTAAAGATATCACATTGTGTTGTGTATGGTTTAAACGGTTTATTAGAAAACTTCTCTGGTGCTAGCCAATGAACAATTTCGATAATATTTCCTTTTATATCCACAGTTGGACCTTCTGTAACGCGACTAAGATGGAAATTAGCAATTTTTGCCTCGTAATGATCCGTCAACTGTGATTGATCATTATTGTTAATTATTCAATTAGGGTAAAACTTTATTAGGTTCAAGCAAACACTAACCAGAATATTTTCGCATCGAATATCATGATGCAAAATATCCACCGCATGCAAGAAAAGAAGTCCACGACAAATATCAATCGCAATTCGTATTTTCAACGGCCATTCAATATCATTTTTCATGTACAGACTTCGAAGATTTCCAAATTCTGCCCATTCCATAACCTTTACATCCTGACCATCTAGTTTCGAAAGACCATAAAATTTAATGATATTTCTTCCTTCTCGTAATCTTCCTAATAATGCGAGTTCAGTTTCAATTCTCGTTTTATCATCATCGGAAAGTTTAAGAGGTTTTATTTCGACATCTAATTTTCTCCACATTCTCTTTTCTGTGGGGCATTCTCTATTTGATGGGGGTCTTAGTGGAAATTCGATTTCAGATGAAGGTATTTGTGTTGGTCGCATTTCTTGTTTGGATGATTCAGATTTTTCGACTTTTGCTTTTAGTAAAGAAAATTCTTCAAGAAACATATTGATTTGTTTGTTCTGATTTGTAATACCCCCCTCGATATTCGCCAAGAACTACATTATTATATAAAGATGATTATTATTATCTTTTTTAAATTAAATTAAATTAATCTATTTAAAATTACCTCCAAAAATAAATACATACAACTTTCATTCCTGCTATATCTTCTTCTAATGCTTCTCGATCAATACGTCGTTGCTCTTCAGTAGCAATCGTAATAGCTAAATTTAAATCCCGACCAACCTGTTCAAATTCCGTAATAAGGCCATTAAACTTATCCTTTACCGAATTAGCTTGTGTAAATTTACGATACCCTTGAAGCTGCGATACATCCTGAATGAATTTCTTGATTTTCTTTAAAACTTGCAGAAACCGATTAAACGATTCGTAATAAGCCTGATTTCGAAATTTTTTCTCGTTCTCTTTTTGCCGGCGTTGTAATGCTTTGACGGCCAATTGCGCAGCTTCTACACGATCCATCAATGCATTACATATTTTTTTGTTATACTGTGCCGCTTCATATGTTTTGACAATTTCGTCGATAACTAACGTTACTGCGGCTAGTAACGGTATGAAAGGCATTACGGCTTCACCAGCAACACCTATACCCTCGACTACTTTTTTTATAGTTTCTGCGTGGCTTCCTTGTGAAATGTGTCTTGCAGAGTCATCTGCCTCTATGGTACCGCTCACAGCACCTGGCGCATTCTGAGCATGACTCATGGCGAATAAATATATATATGGAGTCGAAGAAAACAGGACCGGGAAAAATATATAGATAGGTTACCGCATTCATGTAACAAAAGTTCTGTATTTGGTGAAAAAATTTCTATATATTGGGAATAGATATTCATGTTATCCATTTGGAATTTTTTAACATTAACCGAGCAATATATATGAGATCGAGAATTAGTTTTTCTAAATCTTGTTCGTTGTTGAGAGGATTATTTTGTTTTGGGTCGTTCATAATTTTTAAGTCTCGAGAAATCAAAGCTAGTATTAAACTAACTCAGGAAGAATTTATTAGTTTTACTAATATTAGTTAGGATCTATTCATGAATAAATCACGAGGATTATAATGCGTCCGCTTCGGGATTACTAATAAAGAAACGTTAAAATGCAAAAATGTACAATTCGTGAATCTATACACTGACCTACGATAAATCACCGTGCATATAAAAATTTTGATAGTAAAATCTAGTAAAGATTGAAAGTTTCACTCTGTAAAAAGTTTTTATTTAATTAATTAATATTTTTTTATTTTATTTCATGAAATTCTTCTTATTGTAAAAAAATTTTTATAATTAAGTTTAAATTTTAATTATGAAAAATTTTTGCGGATATTTTACAATCAGAAGAATTTCATGAAATAAAATCTATAAAAAATATATATTGAAATATAAATTCTTAGCTTTATTTGGATATGAAAACAAAAAATATTTATTAATTAAAATAAAATCTTCTTTACAGAGCGAAAATT